CTAATTAAAATGAGGCACTAAGATCACTTAAGCCAAAAAAGACCACCGGATCAGACGATATTCCAGCTTTTGTCCTAAAAGATTGTTCTTCTGTGCTTGCTCGTCCCCTCTCCATACTAATTAATATTTGTTTAAAATCGGCTACAATACCAGAGGTCTGGAAATCCTCAAAGGTCTGTCCCATTTTCAAGAAAGGAGATAGACAAGATATTTCAAATTATCGACCTATCTCTATTATATGCAACTTTGCAAAGGTTTTTGAAATCCTGTTAGAGCGAGTTATATATCGTCATGTAAGTTGTAATATAAGTATAAATCAACATGGTTTCATGAAAAGTCGTTCAACAGTCACCAACCTCCTTACCGTTACCCAATATATTGCTGAATCTATTGATAACAGAGCCCAAACTGATGTTATTTACACAGACTTTTCTAAGGCCTTCGACAGACTTGATCATGGCATTCTGCTTAACAAACTTGTAGCTTTTGGATTATCTCCTTCTTTAATTTCACTATTTCAATCCTATCTATGGGATCGAAAGCAATATGTCCAGCTTAATGGTTTTAGGTCTGCTGAATATAGTGCTTCTTCTGGTGTTCCACAAGGGTCAAATCTAGGACCCCTCCTTTTTATTATGTTCATTAATGATATTGCAGATGTTATAAATGTAAATTTGCTTTTGTATGCTGATGATCTAAAACTATACTGCCTCGTAGAGAAGATAGGTGATTGCGAGAACCTTTCAGCAAACCTAACACGGATTGTTGAATGGTGTTATCAAAATAACTTGTCACTAAACCCAGATAAATGTAAAGTTATGTCGTACAGTTTAAAAACGAATATCCTAATATTTAATTATTCAATAGAAAACGTTGCTCTTGAGCGACCGAAAACATTTACTGATCTTGGCGTCACGTTTGACACTGCACTATCATTTAATAAGCATATTGATAATGTTGTATCCTCCTCCTATCGAATGTACGGATTAATTGCACGTAGCAGTAGTGATTTCAAAGAAACCTCTACCTTAAAAACTCTATTTTATGCTTTTATAAGATCAAAGTTAGAATATGCTTCAGTTGTGTGGAGCCCCTTTTATCAGTATCATATAGATCGAATAGAAGCAATTCAAAGACGATTTTTAAAACTGCTAAGCCTGAAAACTGATGGCATTTATCCTCTAATAGGTACACCTCACTCTGAATTACTACAAAAGCATAACTTTTTCAGTCTCGATAGAAGGCGTGATTATTATAGTGTAGTAGTAACTTATAAAATTATTAAAAGTATTATTGACTGTCCAACCTTATTAGAAAAGTTTAATATTTGCATTCCCAGAATTTCTTCCAGACACCCGAATACTTTTTATATAAATACATCTCGCACAAATGTTCTGGAAAATTCTCCGCTCCATACCATGTGTACAGTAACAAATTCTATTGTCAATGAACTTGATATATTTAGTTGCAATTTGTCAGATATAAAATCTCACTTTTTATCTTAGTTAATTTGTTACCTATTACGAAATACAAGTTCTTTTTATGTGCTTAACATTCATATAAAAAATGTGATCTATTAATAATTATATTCTGTCAATTCCTGCTCTGTAATTGGGTTTATGACCTGTAGAGTATTGTATTATAAATAAATAAATAAATAAATAAATAATTAAAATATCGAATTCTAACGTGAAAATACAATAATGTAAAATACCTCTATTTAATATTATGATATTGTGTTGTAATTCTAATAGTTACCTAACTAAATTTTGTTCTCGTAGTTGCAGACCATAAAAAAAAGAAGAAGATCTATTTTGTAATAAAACACCCACGGCACTGGCTCAAATCTAGGGATTTTTACTTTTATTTTCACCAATCGCTGTCATGACGTTTTGGTCACGTGGGTTTTCGGTATTGTTGAAGACCCAGTATAAAATTATATATTATTTTGTTTGGAATAAAATATTATGCTTTACTATGTTTAAATATGTTAAATAAGATTTTTCCTTTTCATATTAATTTTAGTCTCTGTGAAATTATTCATTTAATAGTTAAAAGCATTTTATCTAAATCCTGTTCAATTCCCTATTTCCTGTCTTAACATTTTAACCTTTTCTTTTTAGCATGGCTATATCTAGACGGTTTATTTGAATTCCTTTCAAGAAGTTTTATGGTTTTTGTACCTAGAAGTTTGTTTTGGTCTTGGTACAATCTGAAGACCGTGGTTTGGTTCATCTATAGAAGATCTACACGTTTCGAGTTTAAGTTAGAATACCAAATATCACGAGATCGTTCAAGTCGCAGAATTACGAATAAAGATACCGAATCCCTTTGAAGTTGCCTGAATATATACCATGCAATAACATTCCTCATATTACCTTCTTTTAACTAAAAAATTTTAAATAAATCATCTTAAATTTGAATTTAGTAAAACTATGTGAATTAGAATTTGCTACTACCTTATCTAAAACATGGTTTAAATATAATTTGTTAGTGGTTAGTGATTTTCTATATTTTTATCAAAAATCTAAAGTCAAGTGTAGTAAGTTTTAAATATAGTGGTGCCCAACTTCTTTTTCAAAGTTATTCGAGTTATTTAATAAGATTAAACAAATTATAACAAATAGATAAAATATCAAGTATCACGTTACAAAATGTGCGGGGGCTCCATCCAACTGCATCCACATTTTCTGCCTAGTATTTAAAGGTACATTATCAAGTAGCCCAGATGATTTTTACGCAAAAAATTTAGAAATTTTCTGGCATTAAGATGAACGGTAATAAGGACCAATAACTAGTAAATCTAATATTCCTCCCCACACATTCAAGGACCATCTATGTTGATGATCAAGAGTACAAAAGACGTGAGGATTTTCATCACTATAATAATGAAAGTTATGGTGATTAACGAGTCCATTATTATGAAACATGCACTCGTCCGAAAACAGAACATTATTAAAAAATCCGCATTTGATTCTACTTTATCCATAACCCATAAACAAAAATCGATTCTTTGTTGAAAGTCCCTTTGATACAGTTCTTGGTGAAGCTGTATCTTATAAGGATGAAATTTATGTTTTTTTATTATTCGTCCAATACTTCTCCTACTTATTCCAGTTTCTCTACTGATAGCCCGATGACTTGTGTGTGGGTTTTCTATTAGTGAGCCAATAACCCAAAATTCATGATCATGATCTCCTTCAATAGGTTGAGGCTGAATAATTTTTTTATAATCTACGTTTCCGCTAACTTTAAACTGTTGTAGTAATCTTTCAAAAAGCACGTCTGTCAGATTTCTCTCGATCTGGGTATTTTTGGCCGTAAACTCTAGAAGCCAATAAACAGTTTTCATGACACTCACCAAGAACCAGCACCATATCAATTCTCTCTGCTTTAGAATAAGTTTTCATGTTTCAAATTCGATCTTTCGTACATTTGATATCTAACTTACTAAATAGAAATGCCAAACTCGCATTTGACATTTAAATTCAATGGTCACTTTGACGGGAAAGAGTATTTACAAAAATTAGCTATGTTAAACATAAAAATAGATATTTAGGTATAGGGGTTGAATTTAAGTATAGGGAAATCTTATATGGAATGAAAGATAATTTAAATGTATATCAGTTTAAGTTATTAAATACAGGGTGTGCCATTTAAAATAAGAATATTATTCAACTCCATATGTAAGTTGAATTAAATTAGACAAAATGATGTAATGGAAAAATTTGCATTTTATTGGATAGTGTTGTTCAAGCTTACAAATTAAGAATCGTTTAAATGTTTCAAAAACGAAAAAAGTTAGGTATAGGAAACATTACAGAAACTTTACTTTATTTTTTCCGGGGAATTAAAAGACATCATCAAATATAGGGTGTTCCCTTAAAAAAAACAACTTTGATATAAATTCCTATTTTTGGGTCACCCTGTATAATCAAAATTATTTTTAATTTGTAATGTTAATGGCCCTGTATATCCCTATTAAAAAAAAAATTCGAATTTTAAGTCGTTTTCCCTACAGAGACCCGACGCGTATAGGATGCGCCACCCTGTATATACATGATAGCAACTGAAGTAGACAACCTTGCGTTATGCCAATTTTGGTATAAACTCTTTATTTTGAATGTCATTTGAAATCATATGAAGAAAATACCTGCCGACAAAACTAAGAATCAAATGAGAATGAAATATTTTAATTTTTATAGTATTTCACTAAAATAATAATTATCTTTAAGGAGGTCCTTTCGCCACACCTCTCGCCTCAAATGTTAAAAAAAAAGTTATTAGATTATGACTAAAATTAATTTTTTTCTAATAGTTGAAGTCCTTATTTATCTAATACTGAACTTTTAACTATACCTTACCTTGCAAATTTTTGAGAATTTTTTTTTTTAAATGTTAGTATTTGTACAGTGCCTCACGAGAAAGTAAGTCCTCAACAACAATTCTCGAATTATACTATTATTTATTGATTAGATGGAGTAGAAAAAAACTAAAAATAAGGTTTTTGAAATATTTAGATTTTGTTTTATACAATAAAATATATATAGTAAACCGTGGAACTTATTGAGAAATTAATATTAAAAAATCACAAAAAATTTTCAAGTAACCTAGTTGAAAATTTTTTGTGATTTTTTAATAATAATTTCTCAATAAATTCCACGGTAACCTATATATTTTATTGTAAAAAACAAAACCTAAATATTTCAAAAACCTTATTTTTAGTTTTTTTTCTACTCCATCTAATCAATAAATAATAGTAAAATTAATTATAATTCGAAAATTGTTGTTGAAGTCTTACTTTCTCACAAGACACTGTACAAACACACACATTTTAAAAAAAAATTTTCTCAAAAATTTGCACGGTAAGGTATAGTTAAAAGTTCACTATTAGATAAATAAGGACATCTACTATTAGAAAAAAATTAATTTTAGTCATAATCTAATATTTTTTATTTAACATTGGTGGCGAAAGGACCTCCTTAAAATGGTATACTTACTATTATTCATATTGTCATTATCATCAGACGTGGACAGGGAGTTCGAGGCATTGGTTGGTGTACCGGGACTAGGAGGTGTGAGTTTTTCATTAATATCTTTCGAATTCGACGAGCTACGTTGTAATTTTCGTCTGATTTCTTCCGATTCCGAACAACTGATTATACTATCGACTGGCGACAGAAGTGTTTCATCTTCCAAAAGAGAACCTAAAAATTGTAATTTTTTCGCATTAATATTCGCCTTAATAATTTAATTATTGAATTCTTACCAGAATTGCTGGCTGCAGCCACGGCTGCGAATTTCGGATCTTCTATTGTCAACATAACGTTTCTGACTTCTTTTGAGGCCGACGGATTGAAAGATTTCGAGAGCGAACTGCTCATAAGGCTCTGCAAAGCCGAACCAATCACGGCGCTGGAAATAGGCGATACCGAGACAGTTGGTTCATCTTCTTCGTGGTTTTTATCTTTGCTTTCATCGCTGGAGCTTATAGAAAAACTAACATCATCGGCCATTGCTTCACCTCCCGCCTAAAATATTTTGTAAAGAAATTAAAAAGAAATTTTAAAGAAATTGTAAAGGAATTGTAAAGGAATTGTAAAGGAATTGTAAAGAAATTGTAAAGAATTTGTAAAGAAATTTTAAAGAAATTGTAAAGAAATTGTAAAGAAATTGTAAAGAAATTGTAAAGAAATTTTAAAGAAATTTTAAAGAAATTGTAAAGAAATTGTAAAGAAATTTTAAAGAAATTGTAAAGAAATTGTAAAGAAATTGTAAAGAAATTGTAAAGAAATTGTAAAGAAATTGTAAAGAAATTGTAAAGAAATTGTAAAGAAATTGTAAAGAAATTGTAAAGAAATTGTAAATAAATTGTAAAGAAATTGTAAAGAAATTGTAAAGAAATTGTAAAGAAATTGTAAAGAAATTGTAAAGAAATTGTAAAGAAATTGTAAAGAAATTGTAAAGAAATTGTAAAGAAATTGTAAAGAAATTGTAAAGAAATTGTAAAGAAATTGTAAAGAAATTGTAAAGAAATTGTAAAGAAATTGTAAAGAAATTGTAAAGAAATTGTAAACAAATTGTAAAGATATTAAATTGTAAAGAAATTGTAAAGAAATTGTAAAGAAATTGTAAAGAAATTTTAAAGAAATTGTAAAGAAATTGTAAAGAAATTTTAAAGAAATTGTAAAGAAATTGTAAAGAAATTGTAAAGAAATTTTAAAGAAATTGTAAAGAAATTGTAAAGAAATTGTAAAGAAATTGTAAAGAAATTGTAAAGAAATTGTAAAGAAATTGTAAAGAAATTGTAAAGAAATTGTAAAGAAATTGTAAAGAAATTGTAAAGAAATTGTAAAGAAATTGTAAAGAAATTGTAAAGAAATTGTAAAGAAATTGTAAAGAAATTGTAAAGAAATTGTAAAGAAATTGTAAACAAATTGTAAACAAATTGTAAAGAAATTGTAAAGAAATTGTAAAGAAATTAAATTGTAAAGAAATTGTAAAGAAATTGTAAAGAAATTGTAAAGAAATTGTAAAGAAATTGTAAAGAAATTGTAAAGAAATTGTAAAGAAATTGTAAAGAAATTGTAAAGAAATTGTAAAGAAATTGTAAAGAAATTGTAAAGAAATTGTAAAGAAATTGTAAAGAAATTGTAAAGAAATTGTAAAGAAATTGTAAAGAAATTGTAAAGAAATTGGAAACAAATTGTAAACAAATTGTAAAGAAATTGTAAAGAAATTAAATTGTAAAGAAATTGTAAAGAAATTGTAAAGAAATTGTAAAGAAATTGTAAAGAAATTGTAAAGAAATTGTAAAGAAATTTTAAAGAAATTGTAAAGAAATTGTAAAGAAATTGTAAAGAAATTGTAAAGAAATTGTAAAGAAATTGTAAAGAAATTGTAAACAAATTGTAAAGAAATTGTAAAGAAATTGTAAAGAAATTGTAAAGAAATTGTAAAGAAATTGTAAAGAAATTGTAAAGAAATTGTAAAGAAATTGTAAAGAAATTGTAAAGAAATTGTAAAGAAATTGTAAAGAAATTGTAAAGAAATTGTAAAGAAATTGTAAAGAAATTGTAAAGAAATTGTAAAGAAATTGTAAAGAAATTGTAAAGAAATTGTAAAGAAATTGTAAAGAAATTGTAAAGAAATTATAAAGAAATTGTAAAGAAATTGTAAAGAAATTGTAAAGAAATTGTAAAGAAATTGTAAAGAAATTGTAAAAAAATTGTAAAGAAATTGTAAAGAAATTGTAAAGAAATTGTAAAGAAATTGTAAAGAAATTGTAAAGAAATTGTAAAGAAATTGTAAAGAAATTGTAAAGAAATTGTAAAGAAATTGTAAAGAAATTGTAAAGAAATTGTAAAGAAATTGTAAAGAAATTGTAAAGAAATTGTAAAGAAATTGTAAAGAAATTGTATAGAAATTGCAAAGAAATTGTAAAGAAATTGTAAAAAATGGTAAAGAAATTGTAAAGAAACTCTAAAGAAACTGTAAAGAAATTGTAAAGAAATTGTAAAGAAACTGCAATAAATTGTAAAGAAATAGTAAAAAAATTGTAAAGAAATTGTAAAGAGATTGTAAAGAACAACGTATATATTTTAAGTAATAATATAGATAAAGTATGGCATTTATTTTTTCTTAAACTCACCCATTCTTGTTCATCGGAACTAAGTGGACTCGAATCGCCGCCACTCTTGAGCTGATTTGTTCTAGATTTGAAAAACGTCGGTTGAGGGCCAGACGGTTTCACGAACGTTTTTTCGCTCCTGAACAGCTCCTTATAAGTCTTTTCTTCCTCTCCATAATCATCGCTGAAACCTTCAGATGAAGTTTTCGAAATTTTCCTGTGCCTGCCGGTTCGGTCTAAATGTCGCTGGTATTCTGCGGTGCGATCTCGTACTATGCCCGATGGGTGATATGAACTGAAAACGGAGATAAGGTCAGTATTTAAAAACCTACTAATATGTTTAATCTCAATTTCGAAGCAACGGAATCAACCCAAAAAAAATTACGCGATTTTAATTCATGAATCGTTAGGTGACCACAGAATAAGTAAATGCACTGGATGAAGATCAACTAACAGAAGTTGGACTGTTACCATTTTTTGACCACTGTTTTATGAGTTGTCTTTCCACGTGCTGAATTAATAGTTTAAATAAATTAGTGATTTTCATAACATCCTTTACAAGTTATTAAAAGTTTTTGTACCCACTCAAAGGCCAGAAAGGTGGAAATCGTCCCTAGAAATAGATCGCTGGAGAACGATCTTCCGAATAGGTTACAATATGTCTGAAATTAGAATTAGAGGAAATAAATATAGATGAAAAAAACTAAAAACACGCTTTTAGAGCATATCAAACCAAAAAGTTAAAAATAATTTTTCAAATAAGCTTAAAACAATAATAAATGGAAAATACTAGTATTATTGTGAAAAAAGCGTCGGGCGCTCGATGTACGAGAAATATGGACAAAGGCCCCAAGCTTTTTTCACAATAATACTAGTATTTTCCATTTATTATTGTTTTAAGCTTATTTGAAAAATTATTTTTAACTTTTTAGTTTGATATGCTCTAAAAGCGTGTTTTTTTTTTTAGTTTTTTTAAACTATATTTATTTTTCATTTTTTAGTTCGATGTATTATAAAAGCGTGTTTTTTTAAACTATATTTATTTTTACTTTTTAGTTCGTTAATTATTAAAAAAAAATATGTAAGTTGAAATTGCTGAAAAAAAAAAACAATTATTTTTTTTCAGCCGAGGACGGGATTAGAACCCACGATCGGTGAATCTGGCGCCTTAGACCGCTTGGCCAACGAACGAACTTGAGGTAGTGGGATATACTGACAGTAATAAGCCACTTTCTTTTATAGTTCAAAGGAGAGTTACATACATACAAGTGAAGCTAATATAAGCGTGTTAAAAATCGTCCTAGCGATACCATAGGTGCTAAATTGGTACAGCAATCTTCGGCGGTTTAATAAAAATGGATTACTGTTGAAAATACAAAGCATTATTAACAGTAAAAATAGATTCGTCACAAATGCAGGAATCACAATGATATAATTCCAAAGTTCTCAAATTTATCAATCAATTTCTAAAAATAGAATTCAACAAACATGCAACCAAAATTAGGTATATCCGAAATAATCTTTTATACGATGTACCTCTTCCATAAAAAATGTACATGCACATTGCTAAAAAACATTAAAATTTGAATTAACGAGCGCAAAAATTTGCCTATTAGACAATAACCTTGATGAAGCGGACAGTGGACATGACTGAGTACTGGTCATGTCACAAGTCGCAACCAGTTTTATTTTTATAAATTAAGAATTAATTGTCGATCTGAATCTTCGAACTTACACTACGAATCTTTTATTATCTCTAGAGAGTAAATTGAGCTGTATTATCAGGTAACTCTAGTAAACTTTTTAAAAGACATCTAGCTATAGATGCCATTGCCCTTCAATGACTAGAAAGTATTTGATCTGATAACACCAGAACGACCTAAACGGATTAAGTCACCAAGTAGTTGGAGTAAATAAATATGTTGAAGATGTCATGGCTTTTAGAGGGCTTCAAGATGGAGATTAACGGAAAAGCGGGAAATCCGCAATTCATCTCTTAAATTGCCTTTTTCTAAATAATCTAATAGACAGGCAGTGGATAGTAAAAAAACTGTGCCACTGTTTAGTTTTCCTAAAAGCTACGTAGAAAAATGATTAAAAATTACTATTTGACAATATTATTCATTTTACTTGAAGTTGTAGCCAATTTTATAATGGGCCATCATGAAACTTAATAGAACTATTATTGTTAGTTTGACCTACTATATAATAAAAACGTTTTATAGGATCTATTTTTATTACAAAACGTTTTTTCTAAAAAAAAAGATTACTCAGAGACGTATCAACTCCAAATACAATTGAACAAAAGATCCTTTTAAATACTGAAACTGGGTCACCTATATTACAAAAAAATATCAATACGGGATTCCATGAACCATAAATATATCCAGGGATCATAAAATTTAAAATTATATACCTTTCAAAGACCCGCAGCGTAATGAAATTTTTCTCTCTGTGGCAAACAAAAAAAAACAATAAAATTTTAATTCAACTTACTTGTTTTTGTTTTCAGGTAAGGAATGAAAGGCGCTGGGCAATTGGGGCAACGGGGGAGCGGATACGCTATCACAAGAATCTATGGAGTCGTTCAAATCTCTGACGTCGAACGTGTTGCAACCCGTCACCACTACTTCCAGATTTCGAGGTTTGTGATGGCTGTTTCGTCTTCGTCTTGCACCGAACGTTGGGGATGAGTCGAAATTGTCGAGGCCTCTTAGCACCACGTCGGTTTCTCCTAGATAACCTTAATGTTAAAAATGTATTTTGTTTAAAAAGTATTAAAATAAAAAATAATGTTGTGCCACGTACATAAATGATATAGGCAAAAAAAGAATCACCAATAGAGGGCGGTAAAAATGTACATAAACACTATGGGAATTTCCTTAATCGTTATACAGGGTGGACCACCGGCTTTTTTACAGCGAAATGTATATCAAATGAGGCAACCATTTAAAAAGAATTTCAATTGTACACGGCTCTCCACTAGGCGGTTGAGTGCCAACTGGGCACATCTTCGGGTGGTGGAAAGGAGATCGGCCAGGATTTCCTGATTAGTGGTAAACATAAGTAGAGTGAGAGAGCCAAAAAACTCTCAAAATCTTTTACAAAGGCTGCTGTCGCGAACCAATTCCCCGAATCCTAGATGTAAGGTAACGTGCCGACGAATGAATTGTCGCAGGGGCAAAAGCGGCAGTAAACGTTACCTCATGTATCTAGCATTGCCGGCGCATGCCATAGAATGGAAAAATGAAGTCAAATATCTAGGCCTAACCCTGGACAACAAACTTCTCTGGAACACACATGAGAAGGAAGTAGTAAATAAGGCCACAAAAGCCTTAATGGTATGCAGAAACATGGCGGGTAAACGATGGGGATGTAACCCAAACATACTGCGATGGATGTATACTGCCATAGTGAGACCAATCATCACTTACGGGGCTATAGCCTGGAGTAACAGAACTAGTTTAGTTACTACGAGAGCTAATATCTCAAAAGTACAAAGACTAGCCTGTGTTTGCATTACTGGTGCAATGAGAACCTGTCCTACGGCCGCAATGGAGGTGATCTTAAACCTCACCCCTCTACATTTGATGATAGAGAATGTGGCAAAAAGGACACGATATCGAATGATCAGGAGCGGAGTAATCAGACGAAAGTCTACTTGCTTCAGGACTAAAGATACCTGGGACATGCCCCAGGATGAAATGCAAAAGAAGTACAGTTTTGTGAAAAACTTCAAAACCACAGAGCTGGGCTGCAAGAAAGAATGGAGCCAAGAATCCATCGCGCTTGCAACCGAAAGACGTGTTATTCAGTGGTACACGGACGGTTCCAAAACCATAGAAGGAACTGGAATAGGAGTGTATGGGCCGAGAACCAAGCACTCCGAAAGCTTGGGAAAATGCCCAAGCATCTTCCAGGCGGAAATTCACGCCATCGAGAAGTGTATCCAGTTTAACATCGAGAGAAACTATCATAGACAAGAGATTATCATCATGTCCGATAGTCAAGCAGCCATCAAAGCGCTGAGTTCTTACGTAATCAGCTCAAAAATGGTATGGAGATGCCTAGAACAATTGAATGAGCTAGGCGAGAAAAATAGAGTTACTCTCACTTGGGTCCCGGGACATAACGGGGTACAGGGTAACGAGATTGCAGATAGTCTTGCAAGGAAAGGGGCTCAAACACCCTTTGTAGGACCTGAGCCGTTCTGCGGTATCAGCAGTAACATAATATTAGAAGAGATTAAAATAGAATTGGGTAGTAGAAGAACCGATAATTGGAACAATCTCTTGGGGCTGAGACAGGCTAAGATACTTCTGGGTGAAATATAACCGGAAAAGATCGGCAGCCTGCATCTGCCTGAGCAAGAACAGGCTACGTATTGTAACAGATGGATCCTTACCTGGCATTGCCCACTAAAAGGACACTTAAGTAAACTGAGAGTAGTAGAGGATAGTGAGTGCAGATTCTGTGAGGAGGAGGAGGAAACCTCCATTCACATCCTAACTGAATGTGTAGCACTCCAGAATCCAAGGGCACTATATCTAGGAGGATATCAAATAGAAGAGGGAGACTTACCTAACTTGAAGCCACTTCAAATCCTACACTTCCTTGAGAAAATAGGATTGGAAGGGTCGCTATAGGCATTGAGACATTTCCTTAGTGCAGTGGCGACAGAAGGGGGCACAATAGATCTTTTAGGTCGCAGTGTATTAACACCCCATTATCAACATAACATAGCATTGCCGGCGCATGCGTCGATCGACCCTTCTCTCCCTAGCTACTCGTGGGAACCGTATGGACCAAAACCCACACAAATCCAAGGAGGCTGGACGTCAACGTTCATCTCCAGCAAAGGAGGTTGGACTTCGTCAACGTTAATCTCCAGCAAAGGAGGCTGGACGTCAACGGCCACCTCCAGCAAAGGAGGCTGGATAGCAAAGTTCAACTACAGCACAAGAGGATGGACATCGTAGTTCACTTCAAACCGGCAGGTACCAATTTAAGCAGCCCAATCAAGTCTTTCGGCCAGGAACACGACGCAACCAAGGACAAGAAAAGGCCGCGATCGGTTACAACTCTGAGGAGCCACACTATACCACCTCTCCCCCTTTCGAAGGAAAGGATGGTCAAACAATAATCTCAAACACTGCCTAAACTTTAATGGGAAGCAATTACAGAGAATAATAAATTACAGCTGCTTAAATTCTAATTATTAATTAACAAGACAGTGCATTTTCTGAGTTCATTTTTGTCATTTAAATTTAAAAATCTCCCATAATTATATGGAATGCTTGACTCAAATTAAAGTATAATTAAGAGACTTTTAAATAGTGATAAAAAATAAAAGGTGGTATAAAAATAAGAAAATGATGTATTTGAGTTTTGATTCACCCTGTATTTGTATGGAATTGAAAAAAATAGTGAGTCGGTATAAATTTTGACTAACTTTGATAAACTTTTACCGTAAAAAAATTGGTTGTCAATTGTTTTTTTTTGCAGTATACAAGTCAAAGAAATGAATACAATATTCATATAAAACCGTGTGAAATACCCTGATAATCCCATACTATTTGGTATTGTTATAATGGGAAAAGCGAGAGCAATTCAAATATTAAAGAAAATACAGGATGACCCATTTAAGAAACCTAACTTAGATATGTAATACTTTCCTAGAGAACCCTTTATAATTGATTTTATTTTTAAATTTTTGCTATATTGTTGATATAGGTACATTTCAATGTGAATAGGGGGTGGGTGGCTCAGTGGTTAGAGCCTGGACTTGGAAATCCAAGGGTCCGCGGTTTGAATCCCACCGTTGGCCGGAATTTTTTTTTTTAATTTAATTTATTTATTTAAACATAATTAGGATGCCCAGATAGGAATCCCCATTCCGTAATTCAATATTGCTAAAGTAGTGCAAGGAAATAGTAGCAAGGCAAAATAAAATAAATCAATTACAAACTGAGACTGGCTATTTTGGTAGATACCACCAAAGTCATTAAATTAAAAAAATATCACTTTGAAAACATTATTTGAAAAAGAGACAAGCTTTGGCTATACAGACCGATACGTTACTGGTGGAGAAGGTCCACCTAGTCACCAAATTACGAGACTAGGAAAACTTTTACATGACTGGGGACACAACAGGAATGCACACGCACAAGATACACAAACAGACGACATAACAGGGGCAAGCCTTCAGCAACGTCCTGTTTAAATGATGATAGTATGTCATCCTTCATTCCCTTTTAGAAGGGATGGCATATAACTCTATTGATCTTGATGACCCTAAGAGGAGTTTGCAGGGGGGTGTACGGAATGGGTCTAGTAGGTTTCGATTCAGTTTACAGAATGGGAACTTACTCGACTCGGGCCTTATACATTTGTGTGAGTGTATGTGTGTTTGTTTCGTTTCCATGGTTTTTATTAAAATAAACAGTCATATTATACTTTATACTTCATAAAATATTTGTTACATTATTTTTTTAAATATATTATGAATATATAACAACTGTGACTTTCTTTGTAAATTGTCACAAAATGATACGAGGTACTTTCTAAACGTAGCAATTGTAGTTTGTTTTTCTGTACCTTACAAAAATATAATTTATAGAAAAAGAGTTTGGTGTTTTATTTTTCCAAGTTTAAATATTTAATAATCAATAGAATTTTCAAGTTTTTTTAGCGAAATTTACAAGAGTAATAAAAACTATGTAGTAGACTTATATTAAACTGATTAAAACTTCCTTTATTAAAATGAATATTTATATGATAAAAAATTTGATGTTATTGGAAGCTTTTATTTTGAATATACAGTGAAACAATAGTTTTTGTTTCTCCTGTAAATTTGTATAGAAAAACTATTTATTTCTGAATCCATGTTTGAATTTCCGCCCTGAAGCATTTTTAATTTTCCCGCTATTTACTAGTGGCGCCATCATAGGCTGGTTGTGGTTACAATCGCCCAAACAACTTTTACCGAACCAAAAAAATACATTGAGTTACACGTCTCGCTGGGTTGTCTCTGACCGCAGCGATGACTTAAATTACATAAATTATTTGTTAAATATGTGTGTGATTACTGAATAAAAAAATGTTTATCTGAACATACGAGCATATTTACTTTCCTATTTTAATTTTTCGGTATTTTCGTTGGCAATGAATATATATAAAAAAATGTTTCGAGTTAAAAGTATGTGGAAAATGTATATATTTAGTTTATCCTCTAAACATTTACAGAGGTGCTACAACTAGGTTGTACAAAATAACCGGAAAAGCCTGTAATAACTAGATAGGAAAGTCATGTGTTGGACACATCAGATTTTTTTATTGATACTTTCCCCCAAAACCAACACGATAAGTACAAATTGTAGTGAGGTGTCAAAGCGATGACAAACTGTTATTTTCGCGTGAATTGAGAAAATATCGACCCAAAGTCATTTGAATAGCGACTTGTACAAAAAATGCCGCTAAAGATGAGTAGCCTGGTATAAATAAGCTGACATGGTTGTATGGAGAAAACATGGAGATTTCAAAAATGAACCAAAAAGTTTAGGTATAAGTATAGGTTGAGAGAGGCGGCGTTTTAAAGTAGAAATGTTGTTTTGAAATTGTGGCTACCATGTCAAACGATATTTGGCCTTTAACAAAAAAGTTTGTGATGGAAAACAGTAACAAAGCCTAAAATTGAAAAACATTTAAAATGATAAAACAAATAAAACTGAGAGTGGCTAAGTAGATAGTTCATACCAAAGGCATAATACGGATGGCACAAAATTGATCGAAAAACATTTGATCGAATTGGAAATTTGATCAAAAGTACATTTTATTAAATATCATTTGATCGAAAATACATTTTATTGAATAACATTTGATCGAAGATGTATTTTATCGAATAACATTTTATCAAAAAGACATTAAATCTAAAATGCATTAGAACGAAATTCAACATTAAAAATATAAAAAAAAATCAAACGACACCATGTAACCGTTCGTCTAATCCTTACCGGGGAAACTATGAAATGACAAATTTTTAGATAATTTCAGTAAGGTCGAGTTATCTCCCGATGGAACATTTTAGATAAATTATTTTAGGTTCTTTTTTCTATTTACCGAATCTGCGCGGCCTGATGCCTTCGCAGTTTGCTTTGCAAAAAAATTATACAAAACAATTAAAAAACCTTAACTAATGTACTTAACCTTTGCGGTCAGGAGCCATTTAAATTTTACTGATTAATCTCGCAGATATTAGGTAAATTAAGTTTTCTTTTTTATAAACAACTCAACAAATTTACCTAACCTGTGCGGCCTGCAGCCGTTGAGGGTTGCTGGGCAAAAAAATTTATAGAAAAATGAGAAAAATTAAAAAAACTAATTTACCTAACCTATGCTCCTGGTAACCAGGCCGCACAGGTAAATTAAATTAGTAAAAAAAAACATTTTGCTTGTTCTCTCTATCTTTAACAATAAAAAACCTTAACTAATGTACCTAACTTAGCGGACAGGAGCCATTTAAATTTTACTGATTGCTCTAGTACAGATTAGGTATATAATTTAATTTTTTTATAAACAATTCAACAAATTTACCTAACCTGTGCGATCTGGAGTCGTCAAGGGTTGCATCGCAAAAAATAATAAAAATTAAATAACCTTAATTTACCTGGAGCTATCGAGAGTTGCTTCGCAAAAAATATATACAAAAATGAGAAACAAAAAACTAATTTACCTAACCTGTGCACAGGTTAGGTATATTAGTTAAATTTTTCATTTTTCTTATTCTCTCTTTCAGAAAAAATAAAAAACCTTAACTAATGTATCTAACCTTTGCAGTCAGGAGCCATTTAAATTTTACTGATTGCTCTCGAACGGAGCCGTCGAGGATTGCTTCGCAAAAAAAATTATACAAAAATAAAAAAAAAAAAACTTAATTAATTGACCTAACCTGTGTCGCCTGGAGTCATTTAAATTTAACTGATTGCTCTCGTACATGTTAGGTAAATTAGTTTTTCTATTATTTTTTTTCATTTCTTGTATATGTGATGTCGTATCCTTAATTCATCATAAACGGCGACTTTGGAGAAAGTACAACATTTTTAAAAATGTAAGTACAGGACTTCCGTTCTCACAGAAATTTCTCTAATTTCTTAAAACTATCCATTCGCTCAGCGAGAAGAGACTATGAAGAAAATATTGTAAACTCAGAAAATCACAAAAAGTTATACAAATATGTGCGTTCAAATTTATGTTCCAAAGTAAGTGTACCTTTATTGCGTTACCCAAATGGTACTTTATGTTCTACAGATTTTGATACTGCGGAAATTCTGGCACACTTTTACTTCTGTATTTACAAATGAACCTGCCACTACCGCACTACCACACATAATAACCACGAGGATACATAATAGTCTGATTGAAGTGCAATTCAATCCAGAAAAGGTTAGAAATAAATTATTTAAGTTGAAGAACCACTCTTCTCCTGGTATTGATGGATTAAGTTCTTTCTTTTTAAAAAAGTATGCAATCACACTCTCTGGCCCGCTTTCCACAATCATGACCATGTCTTTTAAAACATCTACTCTACCCGACTTATGGAAAATTGCGTCAGTCACAGCTATATTTAAGAAGGGTGACAAAATAGATGCTTTAAATTACAGACCTATAAGCCTTCTGTCTATCCCATCAAAAATCATGGAAAGCATCGTAGTTGATGTCATGACTAACTTTTTCAAAGAGCATAACGTAATACCAAAGGAACAACACGGTTTTGTTAACGGTAAATCTACCACAACAAATCTTTTATGCTGTATTAACGATTGCTCTCGCTCACTTGAATGCAAACAACCAACTGATGTAATTTATCTTGATTTTGCAAAGGCTTTTGATAGGGTCCCTTTCGTCAGACTGCAGCACAAGCTCGAGTCATTTGGTATTCGAGGAAAATTATTGTCATGGATTCACAATTATCTAGGAAATAGGAGCTTTCGAGTCAAAGTTGGTCAGTCCTACTCATCAGACAGATTAGTGACAAGTGGTGTCCCCCAAGGCTCGATACTGGGTCCGCTTCTTTTTATAGCTTATTCGAGTGATCTACCTTACCATATCCAGTCTCAAAGAGCATTTTATGCAGATGACACAAAATTTTACGGAAACCCCTTAGTAGATTACGATAATATTCAAGCTGACTTAAATTAAATAAGTGATTGGTGCTCGGACTGGCTTCTCCCGTTAAATATAAACAAGTGCGTGGTGTTACATATCGGCAAAAATAATCCACGTCTTTGTTACTCGCTCGGTAGCCATAATTTGGCGCAAGTGTCTTCTTATGTCGATTTAGGTGTTTTAGTGACGTCAGAACTAACATGGTCTGAACACATTCTAAAAACATGTAAACGTGCAAATTCGATGTTATATTTGCTTCTAAAGACTTTTGCAAAGGTATCCTTTCATACATCCATCAAATTATTTAATACTTATGTTCGACCTTTATTAGAATATGCAGGTGTAGTTTGGTGTCCGCTTCTTGTGCGAGACCAGAACCTTTTAGAAAATGTTCAACGCCGGGCTACCAGAATGACCTTTGGAGTAGTCCGACCATCATATGCAGAAAGATTACAATTGTCAAATTTACAAATTTACCAACTTTTGCGAATCGTCGACTACGTGGGGACCTAATTCTGACTTTTAGAATAATTAAATATAATTACGGAAATATTAGTGACATTTTTTTGTTAAATACTGACTCTCGTCTACGTGGTCATGAACTAAAATTAAAAAAAGAAAACCTAAAAACGAAGCACAGACAATCATTCCTTTCCAACCGGGTATTTAATGTATGGAACGACCTCAGCGACGAAGTTGTTGGTGCCATAACAGTTAACGTCTTTAAAAATAAGTTAGACGAGTGTTTGTTTAATTAACATTTTTATTTAATTTTTAGTGTTCTTATCTCTTTGTTTTAGTGTGTTTACTTTGTTAGAATTTTTCTATTTTGTTTTTAGGCTATCATAGGACTTGTGTCCTCAGCCTTTATCAATGTATAATAATAAAATAATAATATTAATAATATTTTTTTTGCGAAGCAACCAGCGATGGCTCTAGGTCGCACAGGTTAGGTTAAATAGTTGATTTTTTATTTTTATAAATTTATTTATTATTTGTTTTTCAATCAATTGCTTTTTCTATCAATTTTCTTTTCGATGACTGTTTTATTCGATCATTTTTCTTTTCGATCAATTGTTATTCGATAAAATGTTTATTTGATCAAATGCATCCTATCAAATGTTTTCGAACAAAAGTATTCGATGAAATGGTTTCGATCATATTTGTGCCTCCAAATAAAAATAAGACCAAAATCACCAATTTCGGATTTGTCCAAATATCTCGGAAACCGGACCTGCTATTTTAATTTTGAAAAACCAATAAATTATTCCTGTAAATACCCATCTTTTTTCCATTTAGTCAACTTTGTATCTATAACGGTTAACCAAATTCCTATAGTGTTTAATTAAAATTTCGCCATCCTCGGAGTAGTTTATTTTCTTTAGAGTTTAGAACATTTTACTTTCCCTTGGTTATCTTTTATTGTAGAACCTGCAGATAGTAATAATTCTATAATGTTGCCTTAACATATTTGGCTTGATTATCACCAATTGTAATACTAAGGTGACAATATCTAATTCTAAATGTTTATAAACATTATGAGGTGGCATAACAAATATTTTAATTTGATTACATCATAAAATAGAACTAGTTTTGTAGAATTTTTTCGTTTAATTCATTTTCGAATGAATAAATCCCATGAGAAGGAAAACAAGAGAAAAATCCGTGACATATTATTTTTGAATTGAATTGTTTTAAAGATTTTCAAAGAAAAAATGCTTTTCTTGAAATGTTTTAGAAAATATTTACTTAGTTGCCTTTAAAAACATTTTCACTAAAAAAAATCAGCTTTCCTCCTGTTCTTTAAATATTATTAAGTACCTAATTTTCATTATCTCTGTTTTTTTACCGTTGTACAGTGAAATCTAATTAAAAAGTTTCAGTCTCTATAAAAGTGTCGACTCGCACCCTTGATGTAAGTATCGTGTTAGAAAAAAGCAAGATAAAGCGTTAAAAGGTTTCACAGTATGCCATTGTAAGAGGGAGATTATCCAGATTGGATAACCTAATCCAGGGTTGAATCAATTGAGGTTAAACAACTCAAAAAATATCGTTATAGCAAAACGCTTTGTTTCAGTTACATTAAGTTTTTATAACATTTAAAATATCTTATTTAATTCAGTGATATTTGATATTACAGTTATTGGAAACAGCTTGACAATTTGTTAAGAGTCGAAAATGTGTACTGAACAAAGATATTGCATTAGAGAGAGAAAATCATGAAAGCATAAGAAAAATTTTGATAGAGATGAAAACACTAGTCATAGATAGAAAATAATAAAATAAGGATGTCAAGGCAAAAGTATATGAGGAAGTACTATTTGAACTCCACCAAATTTTTTACCAAGATATGTCATCTACTTACTGCTAATGTGACTTCCTACTCCAGAATCCTCTGTAAGTGATCCATCTTTGGAAGACGTTTCCTCGGGATGTTGCTGGTACAGCCCCGCCACCCTTTTGTTGTTGTTCGCCAATGTTTTAGCCGATTTTGTTTCTATAACTCGAATGGGTTCAGGTCGGGGCAATTGTGTGGACTGAAGTGTGTATTTTCCGATCTGAAAAATGAATGTGGTTTTTTAATATTTGAAAGAATCGATTCCTATTTTTAAAGGAGAATAACAATTATACAAAAAAAATATTGATATTTAAAATTTAAGTAATCAGGTGCAAAAAATCGATTCACGCCTATTTTTAAAGAAGAAGAAAATTTGGAGTTGTAAGGTTTAAATCGGGTTTAAATTTAATGTAAGACAGAACATTAAATGTAAATAACTGAATTTATACGAGGGGTTCTCTAAATTGATATATGCCATATAACAATTCATAAGTTTTAAAAGACACAATAAATGGGAAATATACAATAGATCGAATTTTTATTCACCCAAGTATAGATACAGTGATTGACAAATGTGTAGAACCACGCAAATATCTCTGAAGGTAATAGACATATCGTAATGAAATTTAGACATGAAAATCATAGATGAGCAATATTATCGAAAGTTAATTTGAGATATACCTAAAAGGTATTCTAAAAAGTTGTTTTTTATTAAATTATACCACGCTACAGATATATTTTTGGTTTCAAAGTTGCAGAGAAATTATAATTTTGCTAAATTTGTATAAGTACAAAATACTAGTATGTTTTAGAGATTTTTTTCATGGAAATAGTTTTATTTGTCAATAAAACTATCACAAATTGGTTATTTCTATTTATATGTATAGTTTATGGTTAGCACTCAGATGGCACGTATTTTTTCGTACTTGGACTTACCTGTGTTGGAGGCTCTCTGTACATTCTATTTCTATTGTTATTGTCAGTGGGTACGACGGTTCTTGTTAGAGCAATTGGTTTCTTGAACTGATTATTTTTGTTTTGATTCATAATTTCTGTCGTATTATTTACATCTGCTACTTTGTTCACTCTAGCGTTTTGAGTATGCCTGAAAGAAAAACGATAATTGTAAATTTGAATAAAGAGGTTTAGTTAAAAAAAAATGTGATGTATTCAATCAAATATTTTAATCCATATTTACTACTAGTTAAAATAAAACAAACTATGAAACCATTAATAGTTATTTATGCAACAAGTGCAAAAAGCACGAGTTGCATACAATATTTTTTCTACATTCATGCAAAAACCAAAAAATGTTTTATAGAACTGCAGTTATATTATCCAAATCATAGTAGCCGTGATCGTGTACCTTTGTTTGAGGCATTTATTTACGTTTGTGTTCATAATTTGTAATGACATTTTTAATAAAATACATTTTTTTATTAATTTATTTATTAAATGATTGAAAATAATATATATATGCAATTGTTTTTAAAACGTAACACAGAAAATGAAAATGGACTAAATATTTGGCGTTGATTTGAATATTTATGTTTGTCATGATCATAAAACGCTGTAGTAAAATGACAGATGAGTGCAATAAATTTTTTTTGCACTAGTGCAATAAAGAACCAGTTTTTTCACTAAATATAGTTCAATAAAGTTTTGTTTTTTGCATGAACGTAGAAAAAATCTTTAGTAACAATTTTTTTTGTGGCAATGTTAGAAGTAATAATATAAAGGAGGCTTTGCTAATTGTCATATTTACGAGAGTTCGCCCAAAGTGTCAACAGTTCAAATTTTTTCTTGCGTTATTATTTATTATTGTATTTACTCTGCGGAATTGTGTCCATCTTGAAAAATCGTTTTGATATGTGTGCGGTTTATAGATTGGCCCACAGCAGGATTAACACAAAATTCAAGCCGGCTCAAAAGTCATTCAGGCGTACAAAGTGTACTTTGGTTTTAAAATTAAGAACCAAGACAAATCCTGGACTCCCCACGTGTTTTGAGGATCGTGGTGATAAACGTTGAAAACGTGGTATAGAAGTAAACGTAGAGCAACGCCCTTTGCAATTCCATGAACATAAAGAAGTTCAGTAAACCTTACAACAGATTGCTACTTGTGTTTGTTCAATCTCAGTAGGATTAAAAAACCAAAAAATCGACACATTTTATATCCAAACTTTTAGTCAAGTAATGCACTCTGAAACTCCTGTTCCAACGCCACCTTTTTTAATGAAAAATCTGATTACCAAAATCTACACAATAATGTTCACTCGGAAGAATCGGATGTATTATTTTTAAACAATGAAAGCAAGGAACATCATTTTCCTAAACAACAAGAAATGAACGACCTACTCGGAGATCTTGGTCTAACTAAATCAAATGCAGAAATTTTGACATCCAGATATTGTATCTTTTTTAGACTACTGCTGCTGAGTTACAACGGCCCGAAAAAGACACAAGATATTATCCACATATTTTTCTGTGGAAAAGGGTTTTTTGCTGTCAAGATGTGAACAAGCTATTTGAAAGATTGGCATTGAATACCACCTCCAGGATTAGCGCCTTTCTATAGACAGCTCTTCTCGAAGTTTAAAATTCGTTCTTATTCATAATGGAAACTTGTATCCGTCGATACTTATTGGTCATTCGGTCTATTTAAAAGATTAGGAAAATGTCTTTTGGAAAAACATGAATGGCTGGTCGGCATGTATTTCAAAATTATTGCTTTTTTAAAAGATCTTCGGATGGTTACATCAAAAATTCCTGTTTCATGTGTTTATGGGCAGCCGTGCTACAACTGAACAGAAAATATTTGCCTGTTAGAACACAGTCTATATCTGGTGAAGAGAACTGTTTAATGTTCTCTCCTTCATTAGTGAAATCAAAATAAGTTTTAATGCCGCCGCTTCATGTTCAACTCGGGTTGGTCAAACATTTCGTAAAATAAGGATAGTGAGAGTCTAAATACTTCGTTTTGTTTTCAAAATTGTCAAGAGCTAAAATAGAAGGTGGAATTTTTAATGGATTAGATATTTGATTCCAAGGAACTTGAAGAAGAAATAACGTCGGTTGAGAGAAATGCTTGGAAATCTTTTAGGAAAGTAGTAGTAGATAACTTCCTTGAAAGTAAAAAGTTCCACAATACACAGTTGTTGAAAAACTTTTGAAATGTTATAAAAAGCTTCGTTGTCGAATGTTCATTAATGTTCCTAAATTTACACTTTCTTCATTCTCACTTAATTTCCTTCAGTGAAATATGGGCAACATGATGGTGGGTGAGGTTTTCCGGGTTTTCCTCACCTGTAAGTCAAATGGCACCATCAATCATCTTTAAGTCGCCCCGGAGCGCCACGGCAAATAATAATAATAATAGCCGTCCCTTTCCCCGCACAAGCTCAGCTTTTGGGGTTAAAATTCACTCGTAAGGGGGTGAATTAGGGAGAGTATTATTATTATTATTATCAGTGAAGAACACGACTTTCATAAGGACATAGCAACGATGAGAAAACGTTATCAGTGCAGGTGGGATTGTAATATGATGGATGACAACTTATTTAGGATGCATCATTCGTGAGGACGCAGAAACGCCATCCACTTTTGAACTCTTAATTTTTTTGAGAGAAGTTTAGTTTTTTTTTTGATGTTTTTCTAATAAAACCACTAAAATAGAAAATCAGCTAAATGTGCAAAAAACCGACATTCAAAGAGATATGTTTACGCAGGCAGGGGCGGTTTCTCCATTGATTTATTTGTGCGGTGAACACCAAGTTACATTTCATAAAAACACATTATTTTAAAATAAATACCAAAAATATAAATTCAATTTTATTAATTTTATTGTTTTCATACGTGTTAATCTCTATTTTTGGATACGCTACTGCGCTCTGGCTAATTGCCTCTCCGTGGCGCACTATTATAAGTGAGCCCGAGGAAGCGAGATGTTTTCGCGAAATATTTACCGATATCAGTACCTGGTAGGTAAACTGAACTAAGTCGTACTATTTATAAAGGCATGTTGGAGGAATATGACACTATGTAAGAGAAAAATTGTTACCAGAACATAGAAATATGTTACAAAAACTAACAGATGAAAACACAAGATTCGATCGAAACGTAAAAAAAATATACCCTAGAGCAGTGTTTCTCAAACTTTTTTGACGGAGCCTAAAAAAAAGTCCTCAAGCAAAATCATATCCTCCTTCCTCTTCTAAAAAAAAGGTCGTCAAGCCAGGTCCCTCCCTTTTGTGGCGATAGTACTTCTTTTTTTTGTTATGTTTTATTATGACTCTTATTTTCTTCGCGGAGCGCACTTTGAGTATCACTGCCCTAGAGAATCCCTATAAATTTTATCAAATAAAATAAAGAAGATGGAGAATTTCGACGATACCAGAGAAATAATAAGAAAATATCTTGCAGGACAAGCCTTACTATGGTACATATTATTAATAAACAATACATATTGTGACAATAATTGTCAAAATATAATTGATATGTGGGTGATTCTCGTGTAACTGCAATTTTTACATTTTTCTAAAATTAAAAATGTTTTAAAACGTATTACACAGAAATAAGCATGTAAAGTGGTTCTACTACAACTACAACACAACGAAAACTGTGACAAAATTTCAAAATTTTAAGGTTTGTTCCAGCACAATAGCAAATCGGTTTACGTACTGTCGGGATTCTGCGCAGTCTAGATTTGATGTTCCAACAAATCTCGGACTCAAAACTGTACAAAAACGTAGTGTTCCAACCACAGATTTCGATAGCGGAGATAGGAAAAGGCTATTTTCCCCGGTGTTTCAAAATAATCACACGATGTAGGCCGCCATGTTGGCAATTTAAGCGTACAACGCACATGCGCAGTTGTTGTAGTGTTTTGACAGAAGTGTCATTTATGTCAACTAGTCTTGGTTTTTTCTAAATTCGCTATTTTAGTGAATTTAAAAGAGTTTTAGAAGTTTTTACTATAAACAATTAATAAAATGGGAAAGACTTGCTTTGTTTTTGGTTGTTTAAACAACGAGGATTCAGAAAACATTACATTCCACAAGTAAGACATCTTTTCTACCAGAACCGTATTCTTCACCACATTTTTTAGACTATATTTTCATTTATTAGAAAACGAAATATCATAGTACAATATGTAGGTATCTAACGTTGATATTGCTATAATTTTTTTAGATTGAGGAAAAGGCATATGCTTCTTGGTTAATAGCTATTGGAAGAAATCATTGGAAAATAAAAGTGCAAATAACGCTATTTGTTTCTCCCATTTTCATAAAGATGATTTAATCGTTTCAAAAACGAATAGATACAATAAAAAAACAATTCCATAAATATGCCAAAAATTGAAGATTTTTATAACATTAGTGTTATGAGGTAAATATATATATACATAAAATTATCAATTTGTTTCTTTTTAAACTTTTTAAGAAAGTGATAAAAAATTGTTAATTATCCCTATTATTTTTAGAAATTTACAACCTTCAGCTTCAACGAATATTATTAATTCAGAATCTAACGAGGAATTATAGAAGTTGCCAGTTGATTATTTTTTATTAAGGGTTTAGATGGTAATGAAAGAAGAAATGTGGCGTTATAGACTCTTCTAAAATTGCATGAATATGAAGTTATCATCACCTAATTATTATTTGATGGACTTATAATGATAACATTAGGTGTAAACCTATATAAAAGTACATTTTTTATAATTTTAGATGCATGTCACATACTTAAGTTGGCTTGGAATAACTGGGATAATCTTACTAAAATTGTCGAAACTAATGGCGAAATTATTGATTTTAATTATATAAAATTGTTGCATTATATTTAACAAACAGAAGGTTTACGTTTGGGTAGCAAATTAAGAGTGGCCCATATGGATTGGAGAAAGACATGAAGGTTTGTACACTTAAACGAATTTAGAAATTACAAATACTAAGTAACATTACTATTAATTGTATAAGGACATTTGAGAAACTGTTCGATTTACTAAATTCTCGAAATCTTTTTAGATTTCAATGGAAAATGCCTTTGTCTCAAAAAACCGAGACTATATGGATGTCTGGAATATAAGCTGCAATAGAATATATAAAG